AGAGGTTGAGAGACGACTATTAATAATGATGGAATGATCTGTGTATAATTAAATGACACTTTTGGTGGTTGAGGGTCATTTAGTAGTAAATGAGAGAGTCTAGTTGAGAGGATAAAATACAAACTAGCTTATATTTCGGTATTGATCGGTATTTCGGTATATCCCGATCCCAATCCCGTAATTCCTAATACCGAATAACAATTGAAATTCAATCCCAATCCCAATCCCAAAAAATAATACGTATATTCGTTAATACCAAATATAGACAAATTCGGTACGGTATTCGGTATATCCCAAATACCGGTACCAAACTTCCAGCCCTACCCACAACGACACCCAAGTCTCAACCTTAATTTTGTGAATCTCTTCCCTCCTTCATTCACAACCACATTTAACCACAGAGTAGAGATAATCGTGTCTCCATATGACATTATGTTAATGTTTATGACATTATGGTGCAAGCTGGGATGCTTTTACTTTGTATCTTTGTTATGTACTAAGATTTAGAGTATCAAAATTATTCATGCATGTTAGGATTAATGTTTTAAGGCAAATAACAATTATTTTTCTTGGTTATTGGTTCAATTTTTTGTGTGGTTGACTAAACAAATTATTCATTTTTCGTTGAGTGTGGTCTATCTAGACCAGACCAGACCGAACCAGACCGCACAGGCGTGGTCTGGACCAGACCGTATAGTCTGTGGTCTGGTCTGTGGTCTATACTTTAGCCTCTCGGTCTGGACCGTAGACCGTATATATGGTCTGGTCTGGACCAGACCGCACCGTTTCCCAGCCCTAGCTGGAGACTGGTCACCAATTCATGAACCCGGTCCAAAGTGACTGTTGACGTGTGCTTTGGCCCGGCCACCTCGAACGATAAGTGAGACGTCTCGGTGGGCAGATGATCGGGTGGGAAACACTTCTCCCACGAGGTGATCTTGTAGGACCCGTCGGCGGGCAAAAAGCCAGGCGCCGAAGAACTTGACGGCCCAGCTGATGAGGAAGCAGACGCCCGCTCTAAACCAACAAACGACCCAGACGCAACGTTGACAAGGGGTAAGTGACGCCCCTATCCTAGGTGACTAGAATGAACTCAACGAAATCGACGAAGGGAAAAGGACCACTTACCACGTTGAACTGGGCGCCTTGTTTCACCACCATCGCCCGAGGCGCCTGCGCCGGAGGTCTTGTCTTGTTGTGGAGAAGACATTCTGGACGAAAGCGTTGTGTCGGAAGTGAAGAACTGACAGGAAAGAGGACAGAGGTCAGAGCGGAAGCTAGAGAGAAGTCAGAGCAAAAGTCTAGAGAGAGGTCAAATGGAAGAAAGTGACAGCATCACAAGGGAGGAGGGGTATTTATAGAAAAAAGAAGACTCACCCATCGCATGACACGTGTCAGTCATGCCGAAGGAACCCTTCCGCTCCCCCCACCTTTTGGTCTTTTCGCGAGCCACAAGACACCAGGCGGACCCTTGAGCTTCCCCCCACTCTTTCCTTATTGGGGAAATTTCTCAACTCCCAAATTTCGAATTTCGAATTTTCTTTTCTCCAAATTTCCCCGGCAAGCAAAGCGTGGGTGAGGGGGGGCATAAGGGATAAGGACACACGTCAAGAACGAAACCATGAGAGGACGCCTATAAAAAAGATCGCGGAAAGTGAACACGCGAAGCGGTGAGCCCAGGCGAAGATCCAACGCCCGAAAGGGAGGGATGGTTCGAAAAGGCGCCCCATTTGGCAAGAGGCGCCTTTTCAGGCAAGAGGCACGGAAGCACATGGAAGAGCATACAGCAAGTGGCACAAACAACACCAAAGGCGGGACGCCCGCCCGCGGAAGGGGAGGGGCAAGCGCACCCCGTAGGACCAAGAAGGAAGTGAAAACACGATGCACGCGCCGTGTGACAAGCGCCCTGTGACTAAGAGAGGGCCGGATTACAACTAGAGGTTCAGTCAGGCGCTCGAAGGCGAAGCCACGAGCACCTAACTGGGGGGCAATTGTTGGGGGTATTGCCCAGCAAGCTAGGAGTTTGGGCTCCCAAAGAAGGAGTTGGGGGGCAAGGCCCAAAAGATAAGAGTCAATATCCACTAGTGGCCCTTGGGCCCAAACAAGAGAAGAGATCTTAAGAATAAAGCACCAAAAGCCAGGTGGCAGCCAGCTGGATGGCGGACCACTGCCTGCGGGCGCCTGTCGTGTGTCAGGAGCCTGGCAGAGCTGTGGGATGCCTGTCAGGTGTCAGGAGCCTGACAGGGCGGTTAGCTGTCTCACAGAGGGGCACAGAGCATTAAATGAGGATGGTGACGTGGTGGAGATCAACCTCGGGTTCGGTGAGTATAAATAGGGGCAGTCGATAGCATTTATGCAGGTTGGCTGTTCACACTAAAACCCGACTTTATACTTCTCTCTCTAGACTTGGTTCTGACTTGGGCGTCGGAGTGCTAACGGGCATTCCTTAGCCCTTTAGGCGCTTGTCCTTGCAGGATCCGGGCGCCCCTAGTGAGTACGAAAGGGTCGAGATCGAGAGGGGTGGGACTCGAGGAACGTGGCACCAACATAACTAATTAAGACAATTTCTACTATCGTAGTTAACTGAATTAATTAATTAGCTTTAAGAACGATATCGCTAAAATGACTGCATAATTCCCTATTTAATCCACTATCGCTTCGATAGGCAATTATTTCGTGTGAAATGCATTCGGCTACTAGGTTTTCACTATCGTTATTAACCTTGAAAACTACAAATCATTGTGAATGTGGTCAATCAACACAAAGCGTTAAACAATTTCACACTATAGAAAATGGAGGAAAAACAAGTCGTGATTAAAACATCGAGACTAGATAATGCAATCCATAAGTTTCCCCTGGAAATTGAGGGATTAGTTCATGATGAAAAGAAAAAACATAAACATGCTAATGTTCAACATCATAACTAATTACCTAAACAAAAGAGTAGAGAAAGTACTAAGTGTTGAAGTTAATCTCCAACTTACAAGAGTCTTTCTTTCTTCAAAATGCTGAACTCCAAAGTGTGCTTTCTCCTTTGATTTTTTTTGTTGTCTAAAACTAGTCTCCAAAAGTGTCTCCCTAAGCCCTTAGTTGCTGCCCCTTTTTAAGTTTATTTTCTGCAGATTTTATCCCACAAGACAATGCATTTGCAGATCCCATTTCCAAGAGAAGGATGCTGCCAGTTCAAGTCTCTCTCCTTACATTTATTTTTCTGCATCTTTTTATCTATAGGTGAGCCACCAAATCCATTTGCTCACTTCAAGAAAGTTAATCCAATTCCAATGATTTGTGAGAGCTAGTAACTGTTGAGTGAAGATTCCAACCCAAAACAATTCGATTTAGGTCTTCATCGGTTTGGCTTCCTGCTGGACGTTTGACCCTGCACGTCTGCACTTTGCCACTGCACTTTATTTTGTTCACAATCTTAGTTTCAATCTGTGTTAAATCGTTACATGTCTTGGTAATGGTACTAGGGTCATTCCAAAATCAATATGAACTTATTTAGAGCAATTTAAACACATACATACATACATAAAGATCAATAATTTATGCACAAAATACATGTATGTTTATGAAGCTTATCACACTTAAAAAGCAAGTCAGGACCACACTTGTTTACTTAAAGTGTACTGCATGACACTCAATTTGGAAGTGAAGTAAAAAAACAAACGGAAGGGTTATATGTACCAACTAGATCACACCTAATAATCATCGATAAATAGAGAAATAAAGGCTTTGTTGTCTGAAAGAGTCATGCATCATTAACTAACAACCACTACGATAACTAAAATGACAAGTCAAGTTTTAACACTTGTTTGACAAAATGGCAAATCTACATTGATTTTCAAGAGCCGTTAGAGGCTTCAAAGTTCAAAATAATCATTCATAAGGACCTAACTGACCACTACATGGACTAAATCTACTTGAGGCTGCCCATCACCCACTTTAAAGCTGCCCATTTTAGCTTCAACCTATTTAGTGGCATTTGCTTCAAACTTTGCATTTTCACCCATCACTCAAGGCTTATTCTTCAGCATCCACATACTCACCGTCTTCTTCCTCGTCATAGTTAGAATCATCTTCACACTCAACTTCAACAACCTTTCTCGGCTTTCTTCTCAAACTGGTAGCGCCCACTTCCTCCAATCCACTGTTCATGAAATCTTGAATATCATTGTCGGAGATAGCATACAACTCGATGATCCTTTCATCTTCGTTAGCTACCGTTGCCATGCTTAGAATGTCTTCATCATTAGCAATCTCCGAAATTACATTGGTGCAAAGATATTTCCACTAGAACTTTGAATCTTTATTGTCCAACACACGCCACATATATTTCAGGAAAATCGTGCAATGTCATCAATGTCGGCATGGTCCCAAAACACAGTTGACTTGTCATTGACAAAATGCTTCACTACGGGAAAGTATGGCTTTAGGGACAAATAATTAGAGACAATTATTGTATCTCTCTCTATATCTAACCTATAGCCGCAAATTCATTATTTGTCTCGATATCTCATAAAATTGGTCTCTGGTTCATAATATTAGTTTTAACTTATATAAAATGAAGTTAAAATAATAGTTTTAGAAACAAATACAAATGTTTCATATAGTTATGTTATATGGAGGCAAATCTAAAGATTTTTAGAAACAAATGCTAATGCTACCTATAGTTATTTTACGACAAATATAATTCTTTTTGAGACAAATATAAGTGCTCTGTGCTCCCATTAATTTTGAAAGAAAAATTTTAAAAGCTACTCCAATCTCGTTTTGGAAACAAATATAAATGCTTCTATAGCAACTAAGAATGGCAGTTTCCACAATAATATATGTAGGTCAATAATTAATTTGAAGAAAAAAATTCGTGGTATTAATTTAGAACAAATCTCAATCGTCCACTGCTCCAATCCCTACCGTTCATTCATCTCCAAATAAATGAAACCCTTATACCTAACTATCTCTTATACCTCTCTCGACAGAAAGGCACCTTTTCATCTTCCTTCTCATCACTGCATCCTCTTCTTTCTAATTCTCTTCTTTTTACATCGGTTCTTTTCCATTTGAGGTGAACAGTGAAGTTATTGATGCAGGAAGGGGGCGAATGGTAATTTTGTTGGGTGACCGTAGGCGATGGCGTTGATGGAGACAAGATGCTATGGGCTCCCTGCTCCCAAGTCTTATTTCACTCATATCTAGATCGCACAACTCCAACCTAGACTGGTCCATCTTTGGCATGTGTCGCCAGTCACTAATCTCGCTCGCATCAAGATCCAGATCGTACAAGGATCTAGAGAATAGATCTACCTCTTTAAGGTGATTTTATCATTTTAGTTTATCTGAGATTTGTGTAGATTCTAGTCTCTAATTTTTGTAAAAGTTTGGGCCTCCAGGCCTCTTTTTTTTTTTTTTTTTTTTTGTTTCACAGCTAATTGCTGATTCTTCTTGTACGCTTTCAAACAATTCTATTAAGCCTAAATTCTATTAACCATGATAATTACCAAACCAAATAAGCCTAAATTCTATTAACCATGGAATACAATATCATAACCAAACCATCCAAACTAATACAAAAACTAAATTAACCAAACTAAAGTTTAATCGGTTAACCAAAATAACCAATATATCATTACATTATCATTAAGTGAGAAAATTTCCATCAATTTGCAATTTATATAAGGAATAACACATAACAATCTACATAAAATTATAGTTAATCCTTAACATAAATACATGTAACTAATACAATTATCTTACATCTGACTCTTGAGTGGTTATGCAAAGTATTAAGTATATATATATATAATATATTAGATATATAGCTAATTACTTAACTGGCTAATTTGGTTTGATCGGTTAGGAGTGTCTGAAACTAAACCAAACCACTTAAACCAAACAAGTTAAAAAATTTAACCAAACCAAATCTATTATCCAAATTAACCAAACCAAAATATCCAAATAGTACCTATTAAAATGGTTACCACGGTAACCACACCATTTGAACACCCCTAACGTTTCCTCCTCCTCCCTCAGATTTAGCCATACCCAGCGCCACTATATCCTAATCCATGTTGATCTCGTCTACGATACCCCAGCATTCATCGTCGGATTCATCTTCTCATCTTAGAAGTTGACTATGTCTAGCGAGAGGAAGAACAACGGCGTGGAGGAGATTTGGTCATGGTCTGCCGGTGATAGCAGAGTCACCAGCGTGGGGTAGATGATTAGCTTAGTAAAAGTAGTAGAAGTAATGTATTCTTTATGTATTGGTTGTATTTATATTTTTTTATGAGTAAAGTATCCATGTATTTTAAAAATAAGTGTAATATAAAGTTATTAATAGAATTTGAATTGTCATTCTCTCTTTATAAAACTAATTGGTGTGGGCCCTCTTTATTTTCCAGGAAACAAATTTTTCACATAGAAAGTAAAATTAAAATTGAAGCAAAATTATGAAAGTTGACTTAGAAGCAAAATTATTTGCTTCCAAACCAAATATTCATGTTTACGTAAGGTCTTCTAGAAACCAATATAATTATCTCCAAATCTAGTAATAGGAACAAAAACAGTTCACTCTAAAACCAATAAAAATATAAAATATAGTGTTTTAAAGTGGAATTACCATAAAAAGATTTGACTCACATTCCTCAATTAGAAACAAATATTATTTGCATCTATATTTGCTTATAAAAAGAATTAGAGATAGAGGCGTCCATTGCAAATAAATTATTTGTTCAAAAGATATACAGAAACAAATAAATGGTTTTTAGCTGCAAATAATCTCTGCCTCTAAAGCCATACTTTCTTGTAGTGTTTGTTGCCCTTCTTTTTCAATTCATGAGATACATGAACTGAAAAGGTGAACTCTCCACTGCTTGCACCCGTTTGTTAAAAAAATGCAACTGAAAGGAGTTAATTGAAAAGGTATTGATCAGTAATGGATTAGCAAAGTAGGTGGTCATTTGCCAGTTGCCACCTTCTATTCGAAAACTACACCAAGTGTTGTCATTATCTCTAATAAATTTCAATTGTGGAATAGGACAACCCAAAGTAGCTATCTACCATAAAACAAGAGCGAAAACAATGGGGAACACACGATATTTTGGCTGAGTAGCATTTGCTACCCGCACACGCCCCACCATGGTTTCTTCAGTGAAAAGGTGACCTGGAAAACCGACAAGAGCGTGCAAATTTTAGTATAAAAAACTAAAAATAAACCCACAAAAGCCAGAACACCCACTCGTCACTTTTGTCTGTCCCCTTCTTCCTCTTTTCTAGACTTTCCAGACATGTTTGGATAACAAATGGTTGAGGAAAAATAGAAAAACTCACCTTTACCGTCGGAGAGAACACAGGAGAATCAGAGCTTCGATTTAGGGATTCGTTAATGTCTTAAATAGGGGAAAACCTACAACGACGTGAGATGAAGAATAAGAAGGGAGACGAGTTTGAACCAGGAAGTGAGAGAAAGGAGTTAAAGAGGATGACGTGGCTGGCTCCATCCCTCCCTAGTTGCCAGTGAACTATCGAACAAAGAGGAAGAGGAAGAGGAAGAAAGTGGGGAGGAAGGAGTCACGATCGACAATGGCAAATTATGTGGATCCGCTTTACATTTTAGGGTTTTAATTTGAGTGTCAGTTATTGGTTCAGGTATGGTTAAAGGGTTAGGTTGGGTTGGACAAGATGACATGGCGGGTCTCACTGACGTGGCGGGTCGGTTTTCAACATTTTCTGGTTAAATAAAGCTGACTAGTCGATTACGTCTGCCACATCAGCACATAATTAACGAGCTCAATTAATGGAGATGAACGACCACTAATGGGAGAGTGACCAAATATGACATGTTTTACTAAATGACATGAACAACCATGCAATTTACCCTAAATGACAATTTCTATAAAGGTTGGTATTTGTAGTGATATTAGATCTTTCATTTTTGATGAAGATTGATTATGTATATATTCTAGGAAGCAACTCTAATATTGTCATTTATGGACTGTTTATATAGGCAACACTTTGTTTGTAAGCATATATGTCACTATTAGCTGTATTTCTTCTTTTCCCCCACTTTCTCATGTTTTGTAATACGTTCTAAGCATATTCAAAGTAATTTGAGTATTTGTCTAGATAGTTTACTGCAAATGACACGTACAAATTATTAGGGGTGGGCAACGGGTACCCAATCTCATTTGAAGAGGATACTACATCCCATGTTCTAAACCCGTACGGTTAACGAATACCCATTACCCATACGGGATGGATAACGGGTACCCACGAGTAACCCATAAATATCTAAAATGACAAATTGTAGTTTTTGCAAAAGGATTCAATATTCATCAAAAGATTCAATAATAAACAATTCCCCATCTACTTTTGATACTTAAAAATAGTAGTTTTTTTTACTAAAGCTAACATTAATCTAGCTAGCCATAGGATTCATACATTCACGATGATTAATTTGATGATGAATCTGAAGTGCTGCCGCCACCAGCAAGAAGTCAGAAGTGAAATCTCAGAGTTATAAACGCCTAATCGACCTCAGTGTAAATAGAGCCTGCTCTTTCCCATGTTGCATATAAAACAGTACAAGGATTGAGATTTGAGAGAATTAATACAAACATTCATATTGCATATAAATAGTTCCACCGCTACATACAAAATAGGGCCTTCTCTTTTCTTATAGTTCGATAGTTAATATAGACATTTAGACAAATACAAGGTTGTCAAACCGGTTTATGCCAGTGTGTCGGTTTAACAAGTGGAATGGTTCGACCGGTGGTACATATCGGTTTGTGCCGGTTCATGTCGGTTAATATTACAAATAATTTACAAATACTCATATTTAAACACGACATTTAACGTCAACACCTGAATATTTGTACTTGAATCCAACAAATAACAGCAACATTTAACTTTTTAACGCATAAAATAAATAATAAATTACTTTTTATCAATTAAATTCACTAAGATATGATCATTTTACTTGGAGATTCGTATATCGATCATGCCGATCATACCGGTAGCGTCATGCCGGTTTTATGACCGATACAGGTTGAACTAGGTTCAACCAGTGACACGCCTGCTGGCGTGACAACCATGGACAAATCTTAAATCCCACCTCAATCCAGAAGCACCCCTACAAACAGTTCCTACTAACACTTCAGCTAATCACCCCTAATATTCTAGATAAGTTCATCTCAACTAATTCAATCTAATCATGAAATGGGCATTACGAGTACCCATATTACCCAAACGGGTATTAACGGACTACCCGCGAGTACCTATTATACAAATTTCCCATCCCGTTTTTAAAAAAAGGGCATTTGAATACCCATAATTCTAAAAAGACAAAAGGGATATGAGTAGACCCAAATATCGGTTTCTCGTTGCCCACCCTACAAATTATATAACCATCGCCAACGTGCCGGACGTTGTGCTAGTATAATAATAGTACAGCTCAAGTCAAAAGCATATGCTTCATTCATAGGGAAAGACGTCACCCAAGAGCCAAGCCAGCCCAACTCCGTAACTTCCAAAGCACGACGCTTGTTTCTTTTCTCCTCATGCAACATGATAAAGAGAGAACCCCTTCGAAGCTGGCTTTAATTTGGAGCAAAGGAACTGCCTGCCTTCTTCTTTCATCTCCATCATATAACCCCTTCCATAACTGTAAGCTGAGAAGAAGCTGCCACAGAAGCCAGCCATGGCCTCTTCTCCATCTCCACCTCCTCCTCCCCCTCAAATAAGGACTCCACAATCCATCGTCAAGCTTAGCCCCCGGTACGACGGGAGCATCATCTACGACTCGTATGAACTCAGAGCCATGACGTGTCAGGTCAATAGGGCCCTACAAGGGCTCAAGTGGTCGTCACCTTACCCAGCCTACGTGGCCGACAAAGGCTGCATCGTCGGTCCAGGAGCTGCCTGCAGGGAGTACATAGGCAGGTTATGGAAGAAGGCTACCAAAATGTTGCTCTTCAGGAATCTGCAGGGAAACAAGAGCCGATCATTTGCTTCCAACGAACCACTCCCGTAAACTGTGCTTCGATGTCGACAAAGGTTTCCGGTACTTGCATAGCGTGTAAAATAGGGGGGAGAGAGAAAGAGAGAGATTGCATCAACTTCTCATAAACCATGTCAAGACTGAACCGATGTGTTAGTTTGTACAGTATTGGGAATATAGCAAACCATTCTGTGGAGAACTATATATGCAAAATTCCCCTTCCTTTTCAACTTCATTGTGGGAATCGCTTTTCCTATAAATCCTTTGAGCACAGTTTTTCATTTACAAACATCATGTGGAAGTGGAACAAATCACACAAAGCTGCAGTCTTAAAACAGAAGACAGGTGGCTCCTGAAGACACACCTCAACATAGCCTGAGAGCCATCTCATGAAGAAGAGCTCGCTTCTGTGAAGCATTGATAACATGGTCAGTTTCAGCATTCTCAAGCACATCGGCAATTATGGCCGCTGCATGTCCAAGTGGTTCTTCTGCTGCTCTTCTCAACATGAAGGCCTGCCTCATCAAAACGAATGGTCAGTTCTACTGGTGGTCGATTCATTACATGTAACGCATCCACTAAGTTGTCTGCTATGGAACTATATGTAGTAACTGCAAGAATGAATCTCAGCCCATCGCCGCACGACTCTACCATAATCTAGATAAAATAAAGTTCCCATGAGAGAGAGAGAGAGAGAGAGTTACCTGGCCATGATGGGATACAATCAACGTACATGGTTGCTGTAGCCATGGCTCCCCGTCTATTTGCACAGGCAGAGGAGCAAACAACTGTATCTTAATCAACTGCCCTTGTGCAAGTCTGCGTGCACGTGAAAGCCCAACCTGAGATGTACAAGATCAATCCAATTTTACCATAAGCTATCTGGGAAAATGAAAATGCAAATACAGCAAGTCTATATTGCACCACTGCTATGTCAACGACGAGTGCTATTACAAAGAATTTTAAACATCATCGTAGTTCACCTGAAGTTTTCCTAAGTGCCACGTTCCAGAAATGCTAACAACTTCGAGTAACTTATCATGCATAGATTGTGGATCAAAACTATCATAAGATTCATCCTCATTTTGCCATAGGTCTACACCACCCATGTAACTTCCTATGTTTGCAACGAGTACACCTTCTGCATCCTGCAAGGTCATAAGAGAAAGTATAGCCTACCACACAGTGACTAATGTTGATATGCACATTCAACACAGAATCAATTCTAAGATACCTATTAATACTATCCATCATTACGAACTTCCCTGGGATTACATGTGAAAGCCTCACAGATACATCCACGATGTACCAAATTTAT